TCGCTTACTGAAGAAGACGTCAAGCGATACATGAATCCCCCCGAGATTGGCGGTTTCCAACCAGATGTCGTGTGGGGAGATTTCAACTTCAAAGCCCGGAAGTATGGCCACGCATCTACAAATCACGGACTACGTATGAAAACGATTGAAACTATTCTGCGTAAGACGTGGCACTTGGACTACCTCTATGCTGGCGGCTCAACTGGTACTGAACATGCGTATCATCGACCTACCACCCCCGCCTCCCTCCAAACTTATAAGCTGACGGACTACGGTATCTGTGGTGACCACACCTTTGGACTCGACCTCCAGATACTTCCCACGAATCAAATCCATCGGCCCCAACAAATGCCAGCAATGCCGCCGCCTCCGGACCAACGCCTCCCCTCCCATAGATATAGCCGATATCGCCATCGACTGTATCACCTACGCAACAAATCCCGCGCGCGATTATTCCAAGCCGAAATCCGGGCGCATCAGAACCTACTACGGTCGTATCTCACTTTAAATGGACCAGCGGAAGGGCTGCTACGAATCCTCGACCGCATCTGGCGCTATGCCACTAACCCACAAATCTTTGGAGGGTTCTATTATGACTTAAACAGACCTTGGGTTCAGCGGCTGCCAAACCACTCGTTCCGCCCACGTCTGACCACCCAACGCAATGCTCAAATGTTCGAAATGGTGGTTGAATCTGTACGAAAGGCACCAACTAGCACAGAAGCTTTCAGCCGACCAATTTCGCATTGATGTATGTGCCTATGTTCAAGGTGGGGCGATGAGTAACAAATGTACACGCCCATGTCCATACTATTTGTACCCACTCATAAACTTGCTAAGGAGCGGTTGTGCCCAGCTGTGGTCCTTAGCCCACTACCTACCGTTAATAAATTATAAAGCTGGCACACCTCAGATACATCCAACGTCACAGAGAGCGGCTCCCTCTTGGTTTATATTTGGCGGGTTACTTTAAGGCATGTATATTCTATTGTGTATCACCCGTGGCAGGCAGACCTCTCACAGGAGAAGCGTGTGAGCGTGTTGCAGCTTTCTATTCATCTGGCTGTAACACAGCCTGGAAGACACGCTAAAAGCTAAATTTGACTACCGCGCCTGAGTACTTTCATCGACAGCAAGTTAGTGTTCCTGACAACGATGCTATGTGGCCCACTACATATGCACGTAGATGTAGCAGGAGGAAGCACAAATGCGCCCGACATTGACGTTGATACTCAGATGCAGATAGAGGTTGTCAATGTTGCAAACGCTGATGTAAGAGACCACGGGTCAAGAGAGTCTGGTTCCGCTACTGTCACTAGCAAGTTCACCTACACTCGAAGAGACTATGCAAGGTGAGCGGGCAGGCGTTATTAGTTATTAGATGATGATGCTTTAATAGAGTTGTACAGAACTAAGTAGTCAGTTGTCACTTTGGGGATTCGAAATACTGTACGAGTACAGTTATTGTATACAATTTTTTCTTTCTTTTATCGTTTACACGCGGGTCCACTTTGCTTTCCCTTTTCGATAAGTTGTCAACACCATTTCGCGCGTGATTCTGGCGACTGGGGGGCTGTTGTAGTTTGTACATTAGTTTCGGGACAAATAAAAAGTTATAGGTTCTGTCCTCTCTGGAATAGGTAAGGACAATACGATCTGACCTAAACATTGTTCTAACTTATATATGGCCAGGGTGTACACAAAGAACTTGTTATACTGTAACATCATTTACGGAATTGTGTTTGTGTACCACATTACATCTAAGTTGTACTAGGTTTTAAACACAATACATATTAGTGTGCATTTCAGTATGTATTATATAGGGATAATATTATTTATTTCAAAAATGGCAAGTATGTATGATACAATGTATGAATATATGGTATGGCTCTTATAGTCGCTGTAGTGGTTCAGGAAAGATTGATGGGAAGAAGTGGTCAGTAAATTCCCGTTTGAAACTTGGGCCAAGTGAGTCGACAATGGAAGATATGTGCTGAGTCAATTCGGGCCGGTGTTGACAAAACACTGTTACTATCGAATGTTCCATATATTTGCTTGCTGACCTACTAAGTAGAGTACCCACCTCTGTGGTGCGGACCAGTGCATCCGTAACCATAAATACAAAAACCACTGTATTGTCAGTGGTAAAAACGTTTATTCAGCGAATAGTTTTACTCACGATAGAACTGAACAATATTGCTCTGACTGTTCCTTTTATACCCAGAGTTTCTACCCTAAGTAATCAACTAAGAATACTATTGTCAAGTCCTCAACAGTTATAACTATTGAATTGCCTAGCCAAAAAACGAACATTGCACCCTTTACGAACATGTCCTACACTTATACCTGATATTCTCCGCCGCAAACGTGCCCGTGCTTGTTAGTATGCACCAGTGAACATTGTGTGTAGTCAATAACATTCAATACCTACAGCTTGCCCATGTTTTATTTACATGGTATGATCACACACACATGACAGCACACACCCGTTAACTACTTAACCATATAGCTCTTCTACTTGCCTTGAACACGTTAGCAAGCAGCTAAATCAGATGTAAGTTAGTTTCGTGGGTCTTTAGTGAACCATGTAAAAAACCCAGGCTTTCACACCCACCGTTTTCACACCCACCACCAAGTGTATCCTCACTGACAACCAGTTACCTTTCAGGACACTTTGCACCCGTAATTGCAATAACTAGGCCAAATTTGTCTCGATGCTAAAATTAGGACTACTGCGCCTGTTTTAAAAAAAAACAAAAAAACAAAAAAAATTATTTAAAAAAAACCCCCCATTGTTATTGAAATGCGTGTTATTCTTTAAAATATATATATTTTATAAGTATTTATGAATACCAGATGTCAAAGGTCTCTTGATCCCAGAACGATTCAAGTGGAATCAGACCTCACGCACACAGACAGTAGACATGGCTCTCTCGGGATTAGCTCAGCGGGTTGTGGTAGTCGCTGGTGCGACAGGCGGAATAGGACGGGCTATCTCTGAACTCTATGTTAGAGAAGGCTGCAAGGTTGCGCGTAAGTATGTATATAGTGCATCAAGAAAATCCGTAGTAATAAACGAAACTCTTCAGATTGAGCTGTTGTACTAGAACAAAAGCGGTGTGGGCTCGTCTCTTATTCTGAATCTTTCTAAGTAGTTGACTATTGAAGCACGGTGTGTCAAGAGACAACTATGATACTATCTACTTTACCCTAATACCAATGTGTACTTGTTGCTTGAGGTTCAAATCTTCGAGTGGTGTATGATATAGTTATGTTGTAACATCGCATATGCGCAAAGGATAGTTGTATTATGTACCTCCTCGTCAAACTTAAGCATTCAGTCGCGAATGGGTAGATGCTTCTCCTGTTCTCTATGCAAATATGAGGAGTCCTTTGTGAATCCTGTCTTAATAATTGCTCTCAGTCTAACTTTTGGTAAATACTGTGCCATCTAACGTCCTGGATCACAGTTCTGGGGCGTACCGAAAAAACCCTGGTTGAACTCCAAAGCCACCTACTTGAACTGGCGAATAAAGAACACGCAGAGAATGATAAGCAACTATCAGCGGTGTATGTTGCCACTTGCGATGTCACTGACAGCCCAAGCGTGAAGAAAGCGGTCACGGTGCGTTGTGCTGTGGCGATTTGTCCCGTATCTCGGCTTGTATATGTGCACGTGTTCGAGTTGTACCTTGTGTTGATTTGATTGTCTTATACCTCTTAACAAGCTCTGTTTCGAGTTACCAACTCTATGATTTGCTATGTGATATGGTTTCATATTTGCATGTGTTCGAGTTGTACCTTGTGTTGATTTGGTTGTCGTACACCTCTTAACAAGCTCTGTTTCGAGTTGCCAACTATGATTTGCTATGTGATATGGTTTCATATGTGCAAGTGTTCGAGTTGTACTGTTTATTGATTCGGTCGTCTTACACCTCGTTACTAGCTCTGTTTCGAGTTACCAACCCTATGATTTGCTATGTGCTATGGTTATGAGATATTTTATGATATCGCACGGTATTTAAAAGGTCTTTCACGAGAAAACTGATATACAGAGCGTACAGTTTGTTATAGTTGTCATTCGTACCAATATGACATATACTTTCGATTGTCGTCTTGCTGCTTGAGCCGGCAGAAGCGCTGGAGTGGTCGTAAATGCATATACCACATTGTTGGTGAACAGTCTTGCGGATGTTTGAGTACTTTGAGCGTGAGAATCTTCATTCCCAAGGTCCCTTAGCCACCTATTGATAAATACCCAGCGCACTTCTAAAGTGAGATGCACAGAAATTGTTTCCAAACTAGGGAACATTAATTTATTCATGTGCAGTCTAAGCCTTCGATGTGTATCAATGTATACATTATATAGTATGCAACGCAGACCCTCAGAGTAACTCCGAGTCAGCATGTTGATGCAATAGAGCGTTCCGATATGTGGAACATCGCATTAGTGTGATAGCTTGTTATTGACGTGTGCGTACGAAGAAAGGGCATTTGACGGCATGGGCGCGCTTCGTTCTGCATTAAGCTATATATTTTGCACGCAGTTTTGCTGTAGTGGAGTTTGTTTGTGCAGTTTGATTCAACGGTCTCTTGATATCGACTGAAGGTATGCATATACTCGTTGATAATCATCAGGACATCATCGCAAACATTGGCGCACCCGATATATTAGTAAACGCCGCTGGCGTGGCAGAGGACGGCCTGCTTTTACGGAGCTCGGACAAGTCTATACAGAATGTAAGTGACACCGCTTCATATTACTCGCACGTATACGTAGATAACAATAACGTAGTTCAGTCGCGTGCAGCGTGCGTACGGATATCATAGTCTTTTTGAATATCTAATCTAGTCGCAAATATTACAAATAGCCCCAGATTACAAGGCAATATCTAGCTACGAGCAAACTCGTGCTCTCTGGATTTGTATGGAAATACCTATTGTAGTTGACATGCATTATATGTTAAAGTATTCGAGTGCACTTGACACCTCATGGCAAACACTTGCACTTATCGTTTTGTACATTTGTATTATTGATTAGGCACTCTAGTGCACATAAACCACTCGGTATATCCCTTTGTAGAGAACGGTTCCGTTGTTGCAGAGATACAAATTATCCAATTTAAAAATACGCATCGAATTGAGATACTTGCTGCGATATGTGCGAAGTGGACAACAGTAAATGTACTCCATTGCTAGCATTGTATCTTCAGAATCATTCGCATATACACTCAAGGATTCCATTGAAATGACAATGACATGCAAATATGTATATTTAAGTGATATTTGTCTTCATGACTTGCCAAAAAGGGAACTACCTGTATAAGCATTACCGCCTTATTCTGGAATGTCCATCGCTGTGTATGGTACATTGATGTGAGGCTATCTCTTGCCAGGGTAATGAGGGGCCTCTCTCAGTCCTCAGATGTCAGGACAAAGTGTAGTAGCAACGATTATCTGTTTGGCTACCTTTTGATATATATTCTTCTATTTTGGTGTTTGTAGAATATAAATACAAATCTGATTGGTCCTATGGTAACATCACGCGCGGTGCTTCCGCCAATGCTTCGAAAAGGTATGGTAGCAACACTGCCTTTGTGTGGAGGAATCATTGTGGTCTCGAACTTATATACACGCTTGCTTGCATATACTGGGATGAGGTATTGGCACTTAGGCATAGCTGAGGGAGTTCAGCATTTAGGTCAAGTATTAGACATATGCGACATGTGTCTTTGTAGATCGAATACCAGGCCCGTTTTCACTTGCGAAGTTTGCTAGTTCATTCGTCTATAGTTTCTATCACAGAATGTTACCTATTGAAATAGAACACTTTTGCATGTTCGGCGGCAAGTTTCTACTACTATGCCACTTCAAGTGGGAATATATCGACTATTCAGTTACTAGGTATATATACCCGGAAGTCCTTCATATGATCTTTCATTCCTGATTCCCATATAGATTTACCGCCAGCACTGGTTCAAATTCTCGCTCTGACACTGCGATGTGACGGTTGTGTGACATTTGAGTCACAATTTCATTTTTGATTTGTTTACCCTCAAAAATCGGCTAAGTAGAAGTCCTAATATTAGGTACTCACCAAGTTGTGGAGTTATTCACAATCTAAGCGGTTGTGTAACACCTTGAGTTATGAAGGCTTTTTTTATGCGACAATTAGAAAAGCCAATGTAGTCCAGGGCCAACACCTTTTGTAATTCCCGTTCTACCAAGCTCATAAAGCCTGAGGCATTTCTGTCTGTATTTTGGGTCACAGATCGGTTGCACGGGTTCTGGAAGTGCTGTGATGATTGTCGCATACAACTAACCAGATATTGCTTATGCAGTAAAGGCACTGTTGTGCACGAATACGCCTTACCTACTAACGTGCTGCATATGGTCCACGTATCTGCCCTTGTTTGAAATCATTTGTTCAGCATCAAGACCCTTGTTAAAACGTCAGTACATATATTCTCGCATATTAATATAGTTTATTTTTGCCACCCTTTCACCAGGCGGATGCATCATTAATATCGGAAGTGTTGTGGGCACTCACGGCAATGTAGGCCAGTGTGCGTACAGCGCTGCTAAAGCTGGGCTAGTAGGTGTGTGCATAGTCCTCGGCATGTATTGAATCATTGTATGTAGGTGACTGAGCTATCCCACGTGGTAAACTGGGTTATAAAACGAGCACCGCTCTAGTATGCTGATAGGCACGTGATAGGCACGTCCGACTACGCGTTTAGTCCGCAACACACGTCACCTCCGAATGTTGAAAACGGATCTCTGACGTACTCACACGCGTGTAATGATGTTTATATGCACAGGCTTCACCAAGTCCTTGTCTAAAGAGGTTGGGAGCCGGGGTATCCGAGTCAACCTGATCAATCCCGGATACATTGAGACGCCCATGACGGCGCATATACCCCAAGAAAAAATAGATAAGATCATACAGAACACTACACTCGGGCGCTTGGGTACTACTGATGACATAGTGCAGGCTGTGCGCTTTGTCTCGACGTGTACCTTCATTACGGGCCAGGTGTGTCCGTCGTACGTTGCGGTAGCGACTTGTTTGCGTGTGCGTGGTTCGTATACTTTTGCGTATTCACTGTTGAGCGCATGTAATCAATGTGTGCTTTATACAAGTAGTACCGTCACAATATAAAGCTCATAGTCACGATGCTTGCTTTGCCAATTGTGCGATGTCGATGTGTACAAGTATATACCCAGCACACAAATCAAACACATCTGATGTTGACATATTTGAACTACAACGTACGCTTGCGTCAAATGGAGAGAAATTGCATAGTAGCCCACGGATTCGTTTCAAACACCGAACGGAATACACATGTACGATATATTCGCCCTTTTACACCTCTAGAACTCCGCCTTTTCTTAATATACCATGGCCACCTATGTGAACATTAGGTACTGCACGTGGACGGAGGGCTTGTGCTCTGATCTTCCCGAATTTATGCTGAGAAATAATCGCACGCCACGGTAGGCAATGCCGACCCACCAGGTGGCAGACCCACACGCGACTTGAGTATACCAAATGCACTCCGGGAAAGTTGATCTACTTGGAATATGTACCTATACACCGGTCGATTCTATCGAAGGCGATTTATACACCCCAGTCATCATTAGTGGTAGGCAGAAAGCAGATAAAGGCACCCTGCGCACTGTACTTTGACCCGGGTCACAGGTTTTGTCGACGTAGACGCCATTACGTGAGGAAGTGGATTAATCCCAACTACTTTCAAACGGGACTGTTTCCAGTGAGTGCGATTATCTCGTATGATTCTTCATCGTCTGCGACACACCTGTCCGTGTATAGGACGTACATCGCAGTATATGCAGAGTGAGCTTTGTACGAGAAGAGTTGCTGTAAAATGGGCCGAAACACCATATCTATCCCAAAGAAAATAAATGTTCTGTTGCTATGCCATACGTTGTGGTAATCAGATCTATCCATCGCACGGGTGATGTGTGTAGTTGTTTCGAGAGTATTTCCGTTCATAAACACTATACACCAGCCAGCTGCAGGTAGTACTTTCCTAGCAGTCTTGTATCGCTGATAAGGTGGTAGCTGGTAATATGGGTAAAGCCGACATCAACACCTTACAAATGAAAGCGTTGCCATGAAAGGCTATCATGCGAACTAAATTCTTAACCCAGTAGCACTTCTGCGTTTTTGAAGGCAATCTGTGGCCACGGGGACAGAAAAACAACTTCGATTACATCGGCGCATAAAGTTGTGTGACTTGGGACTGCTATAGGATCCGTATACTGTGTATTCCAGGACTTGGTTTCAGTCAAAATGTACACAAATAAGGTGCACTCACTCGCTCAACGACAATCGGTTGGCCGGCATATTTCAGGCGATAACCATATAAGTACTCTCAGTTCTGGTGACGTGCGTTGATATAGAATGTATTCTCAAGTTTCATTCATAATATTCTAGCTACTTTCTCTATATATATATACATCTCATCCTCTTGCCAGTCTCCACGTAGCCACCACTCATGCACACACGCACAAGTCTGTGAGTATACGGCTCTGTTCGTATTTCATGGCTTCGTCTCGGATGTTGCATGGCATCGTAGCGCAGGCCTCGCACTTTCACACACAGCTTTATGCATAGCACATGACAGCTATGTTGACACCAGCCCTTCCCTTTCCGATTGGACAGTTAGCCTGACAACAACTCTTCTAGAGTGACACGGGAATGCAGCATCCAGGCGACATTGTTCGTTCATCGCGCGTAGGTTGACACGGCGTCAATGATATAAGGGGCTGTGGTGTTGCAGTGGCAGAGGAAAAATTTAAACTCAATAAGGGTACAATAATGGAAACTTATACGCGGTTCTGATGTGCGAGTGACGATAGGAAAACCCCCAGGATGCATACGAACAGCCCTAATGATGCGAAGGCTTGCGATGATAATCGAATATTAAAAAACCCAATAAAAATACTAGATATACATATGTGCGCACAATATCGACAAGGCTGATAGATGCCATCGTAGGATGATATTTCAAAGATACTGAACATAAGCCACATCAAACAGTAGGGACAAGGTAAAGCCGAATAAAAATAACATAGCAAGCAAAGGACACCGATACAAGCCACACAACAGATCTCCAAGTAAACCAAGTACATAAAACCTTATTGCTACATATGGAGTGCTATAGGACTGCCCAAGCAAACTGCACCAAACACTATCTAGTAATAGATACGATACAATACAAATGAACTGATAGTGCAGCCAGAACAGCAAAAAAACAATAGCACAACTGATTCGCGAACGTGAGCATCCAAGTGGTCCGACCGCAAACCCACCACTGCCCATAATATAATGAACGAACTATACAGGCGTTGACCTTCGCCTCCACCATTGTCCTATCAGGACTCGAACAGCCAGCAACAGAAAACAGTTCTACAAACAAAATAGGAAACCACGAATATAGACCTATACTATAAAACAAAGGCACTAGTGTATACAAAACTGTTTCACTGTGGTTGGATAGGCATACCACTGCTACATACTCTACGGTATCATTGGTACTGTAATTCTCTATGTACTTTTTTGTATGCAGAGAGTACAACATTCTTGTCCAGTACAAATTAAATGAAATATATACAAAATTCTGTATTGATCTTTCAGAGGAGCGTTGTGCGTGCTATTTATATGTATATAACACATACATCACATACAACACACACATACACATATTTATATATATATACAACACGCAATACTCCTGTGAAACATAGCCTTCTAAATTATACAAGAAGGCTATGTGTGAAAGGTCAAAACAAAATTACGCTTTCTACCAAAATAATATCGTTTTCTATTGCGCAGCTGTTCTCGAGGCAAAAAGAAGATACAGATTCAATAACCTGATATCATTCAATAATTGATTGAGATACGATGTATTATTATGGTGTATGTGCAAAGTATCTGTGTCTACAAACTATTAATATACGGCATCATGTACAAGGCGACGTCAACATATGCTCACTTCATAGCTCAAAGCTTAACGATTACTCATCTACATCGGAATATAAAAATACACACGCACACACATATATATATATATATATATATACATATGCAAAGACGTATACACACAGATAATATAAAGAGAATCGAACCGACACTAACGTCATGCCAATGGAACGATCTCTTTTGACTTGCAAAGTATATACATCAACATACCAACACGGATGAGTCCAACGACCATTACGAACTGCTTGAGGTTAGACATGGCATGATCATGCATGAGTGCCTTATCCTCGGCGGTGGGCTTGTAGGATTCGAACATATTGGGTAAGTTGTCAGTGCTTCAGATGTACTTGTCCCTAGAATGTAGTTCTGATGTCCCGTGATTACCTGTTTGTACTGAAATCTACCAGATATCATTGGACTCAATGGAGCCTTGGTTTTTTTTAGTTGAAAATATCCTGCAGAACAACGTGACACTAAGTCGCTATTAATAGATCTATAATCATATCAGAATGTGTGAGATAATAATGTTCACTAATTTGGCATATGCGATAATAAAGACTTCGCTATCGGCTATTATCCTGACCTGTATTTGTCTATTACCGGAAGCCCGCCCTATTGCACGAATCGCAAAAAAAACGGACAATCGAAAAGTTGATGAGCTTTTTATATAACAAATACGAACGGTAAGTGTTGACACATCGCTGAATATATGGAGAACTGTCGTATATTGACATTCCCACCACATTACATAGATCTGTAGTGGTACATACTCGAGTCACGACCGCCTCCGTATGCCTGGATTGTTCCTAGTTTGTACCTCAGTTACACTCTTTCTGTCAAGGTTGGAAGTGCGGGATCAAAGATTCGCTCCAACGCTTACATGGCCAGCCGTAACATCTGAAGAGAATGGATCTACACTGAGCTGTGACATAATATGGCGGAAGGTAAGTGCGTGACTGGTGTGTTCTGAACCGAATCACCGGCTTGGTATACAAGCAGAAATACTCGTTAGCGTATACACATTATGCTATTCGTATATCGAATTACAATCGAATATATTTATAT